GAGAAAATGGTGGCAGCTCTATTCGAGGTAACAGTCTTTGCAAAGAAGGGTTTTACAAATTTTGTGTTGTGATCTACTGCTGAGTGTTGTTAGCCTTAAGCAGAAGTAGGTTAACTTTATAGCCAATCTTTATTGTATTAGGAAAAAAAAAGCCATAGCAACAATACAAAGTAAAATGTAAATGTCCAACGAAATAAAATCTGAAAAATAATAAAATAATATAATGGGCATTTTTACAGACAGTATTAAAATACAAAGTCATTATTTAAAATATAATTTAAAAAGGAAGGCCATACAGTCCAGTGGTTACCTAGGTAGGTTTTCTAGGTGGCTTGGTGATAGTCTGCATTTGGACAATGATGCTCCATATGAACCAGAGATGGTATACTGAGTTTGCAAGTTTATTGTGGGCTTGTCAGTAATGTATGCTCAAGGCACATTGTACAAACAACTGGTGAACTCTGTTACATAATAAAACAAGATATTAAAAACATGACATTTCAAGGCACTGAAAACAAGCACAATTTTTACTTATTTGAATCAGATTTAAGAGTAACTGGTTTTGAATCTGAAGTTAGGATTAAAACAGTTTGACTCCAGTGGCACCTTTAAGACCATCAAAGTTTTATTCTGGGTTAGGATTGTTATGGTAGATCTTGAACAAAGACCAAGTTGGCTAGTTATTTTATAAGAAGGCTGGGAAGTAATACTTTAAGGAACATTCACAAAGGACGAATCAAATTGACTCTTTTTTCATAAGTCTCTTTGATTGTGTGAGGCTACGTGCTCCTTTGCAATAAAAAAAAAAGAAACAGATCACAGTCCATGAACAAATGTCCAACTGGACTTGCTGTCCATGCTGTGCAAACATCAGAAGTTCCTTGCCCATGAGAAATTTTGGATCAGGATGAAGGTATCTTTCTACCAGGACCTGGATGGTAGAAATGTTATCTCTGGAAATGGCTATACTGACATCCGTTATTAGACGGAGTGTTTATTTCTGTCTAAACTTCCCAGCTCTTTGAAGTACAGTTTTAAGGTTGTTTCCAGGGTCCCTATCTCCTTGGGTTAGGCAGATGGCAAATGAGGACATAACCTTTTTTGTGATGACCCCACTGGGGGATACTGTACTCTCTCTAAATCAACTTAATTTTCTCCTGGAGACCTTTTCATTCTCCTTAACATCTAGTGTATTATATTTTACTGGTCTGTGCTGCTCATTTGAAGTGCTCCTGATGATTTATTTTCTGTTTACTTTTAGTGTAATCTAATGCCTGCATGTATGCTTTTGGCTTTTGTTTAATTTTCATAAACTACTTTGAAGGATATGTATCTGAAATGAATAGGCACATGTGATGCTGCTCTGAAGTATCACATATCTAATCAACTATTACATGGTATAATATTTTGGTGGCCCATTTTAAAGGATAGTTCTTTCACTTGAACAGTGTTGTTGACTCAAAAGATAGTGGAAATAGCTTTCGTCCCTACTTGAAGCTACATGCTGATTCTATTTAATAGAGAAACAAAACATTACACCACATCTGTTCAAATGAATTAAGAAAAAATATAGTTTTTCATAATATTCTTTTTTTTTTTTTTTTTTCAGCTTTGCTAACACAGTAATGCCCTTAGCTGGATAGCCCGGGCTAGCTGGATCTCAACAGACCTCAGAAGATAAGCAGGGTTGAACTTGGTCAGTATCTAGATGGAAGATGACCAAGTAATACCAGGGTCACTACACAGAGCCAGGCAGTGTCAAACCACCTCTGAATGTCTCTTGTCTTGAAAACCCTACAGGATCACTCTAAGTCATCTGCAACTTGATGGCAAAAAACAACATCAACAACACTGTAATCTTCTACAAAATTCATGACTGCCATATTCCTGAACATACTCAGTGTCTAATGTTGTCTTCGCTTTTTTGGAAGGTTATATACTGCAGTACTCAGAAGACAACAGTGAACAGTGGGGTAGTTTTCCCATTAGCCCCAGTGAACGTTCCTACCGTTTGGAGACTTTGAAGTGTGGTACCTGGTACAAGTTCACACTGACTGCTCAAAATGGAGTGGGACCAGGACGAATCAGTGAGATCATAGAAGCCAAAACACTTGGGAAAGGTACTTAAAAATCACTCTCCAGTTATAAAAGCAGCAATGGCTACTGTAGTCTCATACACATATAGATAAGCAACCATATCAATTTTTTATGACGTAGGGCATCATTGTGGTTGATTTAGTGAGGTGATGAAAAGTTAGGCTGTGAGATGGCCTTCTCCAGAGTTTCATAGCATGTGGAAGAGCTTCCCAGACTTCTTTGCAGATGGATAAAAATGTCTTTGGCACATCATCACAATATACACTTTCCAATAGCTCTCCCCCTCTTCTGTTTCTGTTATTGTTGTAGTCACTAGCATTAGTGTTGGTATTGTTGAATTAGGTACAAATGTATGTCTGTTTGCTTATATAAGCCCATGTTCACTATTTATTTATATTTCAGTACAAATTGAAATGAATTATATTAGAGGAGGGAGGTGGATGAAATCTTGGGTATTAGTGGGTTAGAGGGGAGAGTAGGGGAGACTGATAAAGTTGAGTTTGCAAGGGGGAGAAGTATTTGTAAAGTTTAAAAAAACTGTAACAAACAATAAGTAGTAATAATAAAATATGAGATTTGAAGGTTGCAGATCAAATCTCATTTTAGTAATGATTAGCCATGCCACCATGTTTTCTACCCGCAATTTGCTGGCCCAGGGGACAGAGAGGAGTATGGGCAAGAAGTGATAGACCTACCAACAGATATTTGGGGAAACAAAAGCCACAGCTTCATTGAATGTGCTGCAGGAGTATTGGCACAGTATGGGGACAGATCCTGAAATTGAGTGACCTGCCTGTCACAGAAAGATGGGGGATCAAGGTTCCAGCAGCAGCCCTTCAAATAGAGGAAGGGAGGGGCAGTCAAACCCCTGGAACCACCCATTGCCCATCCCAGTGTGGCAACAGCCCCCAGAATGCAGGAGGGCTCTCCCAGCACCTGACTATGCAGCCAGCATCTGACCACATGGTCTTCTCCTCTGCACTTCCTCCAGTGCCAGCAAATGTGGTGGCGGGATAAGTCCCTGCTGCAGCTTGTGGTGATAATTTTGACCTATCTTACGTAATTTGCTAAGAAGAGAGATTTCACTGTGAATTGTTGAGGACAAAACGATGGTTGGCTTGCCTTCTGGCAGGAGTTCTTCACCTCCTATGTGACAACTTCCAAAAATTTAGTGCATTACTAGCACAGACCTTTACAGAAATAGAAATAGGCTTTAACACATCCTGTATTGCATTGTCTCAAGTTAGATTTCCAATACAGTCTCAGCCTCTAAAAATATAAAATATGAAACAGCCAAGAAATAGTGAAAATAGGAAACATATTTGTGAACTATTTGTATTCATGTGACTGCTTTAATAGGAACTGCACAGTTGGAATCCATATGCAGTTTTGACACTGTCATGCTTAAGTGCAACTGTGTGCGACTGAGCTCCTTACAAAATGTAGTTGTTCCTCTTTTGAAGCATATGTAAGCTATTCACCTTGCCTGGTCAGTTCTTCACGTGTTGGTGATGGTCCACTCCCATTTTGGTTGGATTGTTTATTCTTTTGATTGGATTTTGTTTTCAGATTGTTTTCTGCATGGTAATGTAACAAACATACATCATTTGGATCTCTGGGCCTTCTGGCTTCATTTTGTAGTCTCTGTCACACCCCACACTTCTTCTGTTTGTATCCATATATTATTTCTGCCAACTGAAGGTAACATTCCATGCAGGTGATAAAATGGCTTCTGACACAGAAGAGCTTACACCACAATAAACTATTAATCTGAAGTTCTCAATAAGCATCTTTTAAACAATATCAGAGAGATCCTAGAGCACAGTTCTTGTATTACAGCCTGCTCATGATACTGGGAGCAATGCATAGTCTAACCACTTTGCCCCAGTGTCCCCTCCGCTATCCCAAAATGCTGGGATGCACCTCTGGGATTTTATACTGAATTCAGTACCATCCCCCTCCCCCTCCAAAAAAAAACTTCATGGGGAACATCTCTTGGATTGCTTGCTGCCATTTGGTGATGCAAAATCTCTAGGATTATCCGATCCCCACATCCCCTTTCCCCCCATTCTATCATCCCCACTCAGGAAAAAGCAATACAACATGGTAAAGGGGGAAGTGGTTAAAAGAGGGAGGAAAAGGAAAGGATTGATTTAGAAAGAGCTTATTTTAAATAATGTAGAAGGGTGAACAGTTAAAAGATATTCCATGGTGCAAATTGGGATTAAAGTTAGATCCCTCATCTGAGATGTTTGGACATCACTATGTTATGCCATCTATTTATTCTAATTCTCTAAACTCATATGTATATTTTCTTGTAGAACCACAGTTTTCTAAAGAACAAGAGCTTTTTGCCAGTATAAACACCACTCGAGTAAGATTAAATCTCATTGGCTGGAATGATGGCGGTTGTCCAATCACCTCCTTTACCCTGGAATACAGGCCATTTGGGACCACTGTATGGACAACAGCTCAACGAACATCTCTTACTAAATCATACATTGTGTACGACCTTCAGGAGGCAACCTGGTATGAGCTACAGATGAGGGTCTGTAATAGTGCCGGCTGTGCAGAGAAACAGGCCAAATTTGCAACACTCAACTATGATGGGAGTAAGTGCATTCATTTCATTTGTGTTTAATGAAGTATGATCATAAATAATTTAATTTCACATAATGTCCTCTAAGTGCTATTTAATTTTGTGTGCGGCAATATGGCAGCTGTAATAACTAGATGATAAAATAGTAAAGACATTTACAATCTGAAGTTCCATCTGCCTGTTGTCACACGGAAAATTTCACAATGGTCTGTAGAAATTTATGACACGCTTCTCCTATGGCCAGGCTTTCCAATGAAGTTTTATAACTTGCTATGGTGTAAGGGGCTGCTCTAATGTCACAGGAGGATGCTTTCCCATTCACTAAGCTCCTCAGTGTACCAGCAGAAGAAGTGGGAGTATGTGCCTACAAACACACATTAGGGGTCCTTCTCACCTATGTAAATATTCATTCTGACACAAAAGATTAAAGGAAGGGTTTGCCAGTGGTTTGAAGAATGAAGAAAGGGAGACATAATGAGAGAATGTAGCCTTCTTGTGCTGTAGTAAATCCTTGTTTTGCATTTATTTAACACTCAAAAGAATCTCACAAGGAGTATCACTTCCTACCTCCCATCTTTAATTGAAAGCTACAGCACTGAGAAGGTTAATACCAAAACTTTTCCTTTAGGTTAACCATTCCAGGCAGCAGCAGACTGGGAAGCAAAAACAGCTCTGGAAAGAGTTCTGCCCCACACCTTGCCCTCAGCCCTGTCCCTTTGACAGGGGGAAGAGGGGTGGAACAAGATCTCCACAGTTTCCATGGAGCTCACACCCACCTATATTGTGTAGGGTGGGGGCAACTAACTTGTGACTAAGGTGGCTTCTGCCTAGCTTGTACCCACCTGTATTCTCAGCTACAGCAGTCTCCTCTTCCCTCACAGTGGACACCAGCCTGTGGAGGCAGTGGCTCCCACCCAGTTTGCATGGGATCGCCTTGTGGTTTGCTGGCACTGGCAAGGGGGCAGCCCTCCAGGCCATCAGTCTGGGACTTCATTAGTTGTAGATTTTCCAGGCTGTATGGCCATGGTCCTGGCATTGCAGTACTTGGCATTTTGCCAGCAGCTGTGACGGCCTGGAAAACGCCAACATGATAATGACTCAGCCCTACCCCACCTTCCTGAGTAGATATAAATTACCTGCCTACCATTTTTCTTCTCACATTGACACAGAGAGTACTCCATCTTTCTGTGTTATACTTTTGAGGATGCCAGTCACAGCTGCTGGCAAAATGCCAAGTACTGCAATGCCAGGACCATGGCTATATAGCCCGGAAAATCTACAACTGATGAACTCCGGCTGTGAAAGCCTTCGACAAAAGTCTGTGACTTTGCCTAGTGGCCTTACTTGTTAATCCACCCTTGTTTGCAGGATTTCAAATTTGTCAATATATCTACTTTTCAACATTGGCCAAATCTGCAGATATCTGAATCTGGACATTGGAGGCATAAATAGACCAGACAGATCATTCTATGAACCTGAAAAAGCCCCAGGCTTACAGAAAAAAACCTAACAACAAAACAAACAAAAAACCCCAATGAGGGGCCCAAAGAATAGAAGCAGCTTTGAGAAATGAATGACCTCTGGAGTGGCCATTGTGATGGTTGCTAGGCAACCACGAAAATACTGCCAGCCTCTAAGCCCTGATTTGTCAGTAGAAGGCAAACAGGACAGGGGATAGAACCTTTTCCAGGGCTATTTTGACCTTTGGAGGACTCATTGGGACCAAGTATGACAGCAGTTACTGGGTGACATGCTACCACAAAACTTGCATGACCAGGACTAGCCGCTTGACACCACTCAACAGTAGCTTCCCGCAAAAACCAGTGTGGTATAGTGGTTAAAAGTTTCAGACTAACATCTGGGTGACTCAGGTTTGAATCCCCTCTCTGCTGTGGAACCTTGCTGGGTGATCTTGGTCCAGTCACATGATTCAGCCTAACATAACACACAGGGTTGTTGAGGGGGAAGGGCAGCTGAAGACAGAGGGACCAATAAAGGTACGTTGGCTGGTGGGTGGGAAAAAGTGAAGGAAGCAGGAAAAGGGCAGAGGCTATGGGGGCTTTCAGGAAAGGGAAAGAGGAAATAGTGAGGGAGAAGAAAATGAGATGCCCCTTGCAAGTCCTTGTGGGTCCCCTGCTTGTTTCTCTGTGGTTTGGGCTTAAGCCAGGCATTGTTTTTACATGCATTTGCTGATTTAGCACTGGAACAAGCAATACTAAATAAATAACCTTGATGTTATGTAACTAGCCACATCACTCCTTTAGACATTATAGCCTGTTCCTCAGTTTTGTGTGCCAACAGTACTTGATGTTCTGTTTGAGATCAAACCCTCTTCTAAGGTATTCCTTGTTATAAAACAGCTGACATAGTAGCCATGCAAAGCAGAAATTCTTTAGTGTTTTCTTGCTGGGGGCATTTGTACATGCCCCATCCATTATGAGTTTGTCTATTGAAACCCTGAGAAATAAAAGAGGCCATTTGTAGTATGGATTCCAGTTTGGGTGTCTGAATCAGGTCCCTGAATCTTTTTGTCTGGATCCTGGCTATTCTACACCCCCCCCCAAAAAAAAAAAGTATAATAAAATGCTTGTGCATAATTTAATTTATAAAGAAAAGAAAAGAAAAGGGGTTAGAGGTGTAAAAGAAAGTCCTCATTTTCATTTTACATCTCTCTTTTTGATTTTTGGATCTGTGCCCTATTGATGGCTAAGTCTGCATGCTTCATAACTATGAAGCCATTACTACTTGATGTCATTAGTTTATTATGGAACCTCACCTTGCACAAAAGGTCAGTCTCTTTGTCACTGGACTGATTCTGGTCTATGGGGAGTACAGCTGCCCCTACATTCTTGATTTGTACTATACCACTGGAGTGTCATTAATTCTAATTCCCAAGAGTGCTTGAGAACATAAGAGTTGCCGTACTAGACGTGATAAAAGGTCTGCCTAGTCCATCATCTGAGTGTTTGCACAACACAGCACTGGACAGTTGGATATCCAAAGATACACATGAGCAACTCATTCATGAATGTTATGGCCACTGTGTAGTTTGTTGATGGTATCTGGTATTCAGAGATATATTGCCTCTGTACGTGGAGGTTCCATTTTCACATGGTAGAGGCAGATCTACTGCTACTCATATGAGTTAAAAATCCAGAACTGGGCAATTTAGGCTCTTCCTTCTACTTCAGAATGCACAATGACAATAAAGCCCTGGTAGTTGGTATTTTAATTCATTTTGATAATCTACCCTACAAGTGGGGGCCTGTGAAACTCATGTGGGGGGGGAATCCCATCTCTCCCTCCATTCCTGAGCCTTAGAGTCCAGCAGTGGCATTGTCTGGAGCTGCTCCAAGTGCAGAGCAGCTTCTAGTGCCTGCCAAGGCTGAGCCCAGAGCAGCTCCCAGCATCTGCTGCAGAAGGGCCACAAATGGCTCCTAGTGTCCACTGCCACTGTAGCGGGGTCCCAAACAGCTCCTGGCATCCACCACTGTTGTAGCAGGGCCCTGAGCAACTCCTGAATGTCCCTGTGTGGCTCCCAGGCTCCACCACACAGGTAAGAAGGAAAGGGATTTAAATGCCTTTGTGTATTTTTTTAAAAAATCTGTTTAGCCTCCATGTGGCCCCAATCCACGGATTTAGCTGTCTGCAGATGGGGGCCATGAGTTGCTATTAGAATATAAGATAATCTAGATAACACTGAAATATAAAAGATTTTTTTAAGTGCAGTTTAGTGCTGTTGTCTAACTCCTCTCCCCATCTTTGAGCACACATGAATTGCAGTACCCTGGCCATTTAATAGAAAAGGCAAAACAAGTATTCCCTGCAATGGTACAGCATCCATTTTCTCCTATCACTCTAGTCTTGCTGGAGCAGAAATAATGTGAGAACTAGAGCCCTGCAAAGGAGAGCTAGATTCATGACAGGGGTTTTGCACACTAGCTGCCTCTTCTGCATCGTGAGGCATGTGTCCAATGATGAAGAGTCAGAGACCAAAGAAGGTTCATTAGGCTCTATAGTTGATCCATTAGCAGTCCCGACTCCCAACAGTGTCTATAGAAAACTGGAACATACCCTAATAAGTATTCACATTGGTACACTCTAAAGCTAAACTTTTCTTGCACATTACTTGGCTTTTTTATAGAGATACTATTGATATTTATAAATATACATAAATCATGTGCACATAAATCATAAATATGAGTCTTCATTATCCTCAGTTTGCAATTTCTAATGTCACAATTTTTGGTTGGTTTTAATGGTTTTAAAATCTGGTTTTATTCTGTATATTTTTAAAATTTGTTAGCTGTATTGGTGGCCTTTGTAGGTGAGGCAGAAATGCTGTAAATAAATGTAGGTGAGGCAGAAAGGTGAGGCAGAAACCTTGTAAATTCGTATTTAGCTTCCTGACAAAGGCTTCCCAGGTATTGTGTGCTCTGCTTGCAGAACTTTAGATCTCAGAGAACTCATTTCACTTGCAAAAGAACAGGAGCCTTGCAAGATATTCTGCTTTGGGTACAGCAGTTCCAGTTTTTCAAGGCTTGTTTTGACCCATCTTCAGAGGATCTGTCTTGCAAAGTGTGTTGCCCTGATCTTATAAACTCTGTTCTCAGTTCTGAGAAGGCTGAGTTTATGTGCTAATAGCATTTTTTTTAAAAAATGAATATGAAATAGGCAGGAACAAAGGCAAGGTCAGATTTTAAAGTGAGTGCATCAGAATAAAAATGGCCAGTTGTGTAAAAGAATGACCATACAAAGCAACACCAGAGCATGGGGATAAAACATCCATAGTTTGACATTGCACTTTATTAAAGTTGGCAGGTCTGCTTTAAAATGCTGCCATTCAACTTTAGTATTACTTATGAAGCTTCCCTATCTAACAGTGAAATGCTGAGCAAAATGATACCCTTCTAAATCCATTGAAGTCAATGGGCTTGGAAGGGTGTAATTCTGCTTAGGATGGCACCGTAAATGAACCTCTTAGGGACATACAGGTGAGCTTCTGTACACTGTAGTCACTTAAAAACCAACCTTTTCTCTTCATTGATAGGCATCTAATGTCATGACACTGTTTCCAGGTACAATCCCTCCACTCATTAAGTCAGTTGTCCAAAGTGAGGAAGGTCTGGCAACCAATGAAGGGCTAAAGATGCTGGTGACCATTTCCTGTATCTTGGTTGGGGTCTTGCTGCTTTTTGTGCTTCTACTGGTTGTGAGAAGGAGGAGGAGGGAACAAAGACTGAAGAGACTCAGAGGTAAGAGTGGATAACAAATATTTGTTTGCATATATAAAAACCATCTTAGCAGAAGGAATGTGTGGCTTGTGTGAAGAGCCATTATTGTACAGGAGCAGTATGCCTGAAGCTCCCCATGGTGCATTTGATACCGCTGTGGTAACAGTACTGTTGTGAAGATCATGTAGTATGGAACATTTACTGTGACAGACTATGTAATGATTTTTGTTGTATACCAGCCTGAGCCCTACTATGGGGGAGGGCAGTCCAAAATTTGAATTTAATAAATAAATAACACTGTTGAAAGAAGTTAGCACAATATTGCCTCTGCCTCACCCAATGAGAATGCTAAGGAAAGAGGTTTTTTGAGCAATGGCCGGACCATTCCTGTAATGCTATAACTGTCCTCAGAAGTACATGTGGAAAAATTAGAAAAAATCATAGCTATTGCTGTGTTTTACAGTAATCCTTCATCTTTCCAATGGGAGTTCCTGCAAGAATTCACTTTGCCTAGTTAACATGATATTGTCGTATTACAGACCTGTACAAAGCAATGCCATTTTCTGGAAAGCACATATGATAGGAGAATTTCTGAAAGTCTTTTGGTTTAAAATTATTGGTGCATATGGAACCTTTTGATTTAAAATTATTGGTGCATATCTCATGGAATAGAGTCGGTTCAAAGCTTGGATTCATAGAATCATAGAGTTGGAAGGGGCCATACAGGCCATCTTTAGTTCCAAATCTGCTTTAGTTCTAAACCATCTTGTGGCTCTAACAGATATATATTAACAGATATATATGAAATTGTCGCTACCTGTGTGACTTTTATTGGTTTAATTTTTTTAATGTGATTTTATGTAATGAGTTTTGGACTCAGTTTCTTGTGATCTGCCCAGAGCACGCTTTGGAGAGGGTGGAATAAAAATCTCAAAATAAACAAATACATTTATTTATTTATTTATTTATTTATTTATCATTACACTTATATCCCTCCCTCCCCGCGGACGGGCTCAGGGCGGCTTACAAATAAGGGCAGTATGTGCCAATAAAACAATAAAATCACACATAAAAACAACCATTATTAACAATAATAAAGTGCTCAAAGATGTTATCAATTTAGTCAAATCAAGATGGTGACCTGACCTGTAAATATATCCAAAAGCCCACATCAATGGCATCAACTCATCTCAGTACTGTTGCGAGATCTGTATACTGGGCCATCCCGTTACCCCATTGTTGCCACAGAATAGTTGGTGGTGGTGGTGGTAGTGGCGGCTTCTAATTAAAAGCCTGGTGGAAGAGCTCCATCTTGCAGGCCCTACAGAACTGTGAAAGGTCCCGCAGGGCCCTGATCTCCTCCAGGAGCTCATTCCACTGGGAGCTCGTTCCACCAGGTAGGAGCCGCCACTGAAAAGGTCTTGGCCCTGGTTGCCGCAAGCCTGGCCTCCCTGGGGCCTGGGATCCCTAAGCAATGTTGAGCCCCCGACCGTAGTGCTCTCTGGGGTATATATGGGGAAAGGCGGTACCTCAGGTACGTCGGACCCTGGCCATATAGGGCTTTAAAGGTAAGCACCAGCACCTTGAAGTGAATTCGGAAAGCTATTGGCAGCCAGTGCAGTGCTTTCAGCACAGGCCGGATGTGCTCCCATCTAGGGAGGCCCATCAAAAGCCTGGCTGCAGCATTCGGCACTAACTGTAGCTTCCGAACTTGAGACAAAGGCAGCCCCATGTAGAGAGTGTTACAGTAGTCTAATCTAGAGGTGACCGTTGCATGTATCGCTGTAGCCAGGTCATCGCGGTCGAGGAAGGGGACCAACTGCCGAATCAGCCAAAGATGATAAACAGTCGACCTGGCAGCGGCTGCTACCCGGGCCTCCATAGTTAAGGAGGAATCCAGGTGCACTCCCAAACTTCTAACCTCTGGCACTAGCACCAGAGGTGCCCCATTGAAGGCCGGGAGAGGAAGCCCCATCCCCAAACCACCCCAACCCAGACACAGGACCTCTGTCTTCGCCGGATTTAGTTTCAGCTGGCTCAGTCTAAGCCAACCAGCCACGGCTTGTAACGCCCGGTTAAGATCTTCTGGGCTGGAGTCTGATTGGCCACCCAACATCAGATAGAGCTGGGTGTCATCTGCATATTGATGACACCCTAGCCCATATCTCTGAGCAATCTCCGAGCAAATCTGGGTGTATTATACAGCTGTGCCTTCTATCAGGTAATGTGGGAGTTAAACTGTTGGACTTTATTTTGGAATTGTATGCCTAGGCACAAGGTATTGGACTGTATATATAGTATATATTTAGTTCAAAAAGTCAGAACCATAAATCTGAGAAGGAATCTTATTAAAAGTTGGAACAGTGATTTGGAGAGGCTGGGAAATGGTGGACATAAGAGTGGACAAATAGATAAGAGAGCAGGAATCCTGAAAAAAATACTTATAAGATTACCAACGAATCATTAAAATATAGGACTGGTTCTGAGGGTGTGTGAGTGTTTGCTTTTTGGCCAAAATGGGTATTTCATTTGATTTTATTTCAGAAAGTCTATGCCAGTCTTTGCATTTGATTTGTGGAAGACAATCCTCTAAGAAATTCCCACAAAATCTGCCCAAGTTGAGTTTGGAGAGTGATTAGGATGATTTGGAAATATATGACTCTATATGAAAATGCATTAATTTGAAGCTAGGAGTTCAATTAAATTTTGTGTTACCTGGGTTGGGGAGTTGCAGTACATGTAACATCCAGGAACTCTTGTTCCCAAGGACTGCATGGCCATGAAAGGGCTTCAGCCTTCCCTCTCATGGCAAATGCCTCACAGCCGATATCCAATTCCCTAGCACTTTGTCTGCCCTGTGGCAGCACTGTTAATGACCAAATTGTTCTAAACAATTGGGCTGGGCTTGAGCTTGTGGACGCAATTGTAGCCACATAGAATTCCTTCTTAGCAGCCTTGGTTGCCATCTCATAGGATCTCATAAACGTCTTAAAAGATGCTCTTGTTGCTTCATCGTGAGTTCGACGCCACCGTCTCTCTAGCCGTCTTAGTTCTCGTTTCATCAGCTGCAGCTCCTGGGTATAACAGGGAGCCAGCTTAGAGCGAGCACGCAGAGGGCACCGGGGAGTGATCTCATCGATGGCTGTGGAGAACCGGTTATGCCAGTCCTCCACATCCAACAAACCGCCAGGGGAGCCTTGGATCCCGCAAAGCCATTTGAAGCCGTTCCAGGTCCATTTGGCTTCGCGGGTGAGCTAAAATCTGCTCGCCACCTAGATCGTGTTGGGGTGGCACATTAAATGGGCCTTCAGGGCAAAGTGGTCTGATCATGGTACTGCTAATGCAGTAATCTGATCCACTGTTACTCCAGCCAGAAAAATCAAATTGAGCGTGTGCCTGGCCCAGTGTGTGGGGATCGATACAAATTGGGAGAGTCCCAGTGCCGCCATGGACGATACTAGGTCCGCTGCCTGACTGGAGGCCGCGTCATCGGCATGGACATTGAAATCACCCAGGACCAGAAGTCTAGGGTGCTCCAGCACCCAGGTTGATACGGCCTCCATCAGGGATGGCAAGCTTATGGCCGGTGCATTAGGCAGTCGGTACATCAGCCAGATTGCTAAACTCTCCACGGCCTCCAGCACCAGGCCAACACACTCAATGCCCGCGATCTCCAGCGGTGGGAGCGCCCTGAGGGAGTAAGCTTCCCGAGTGAAAATAGCCACTCCTCCCCCCCGCCCACTACTCCATGATTGGTGTAGGACCAAGAACCTGGGTGGGGCAAGTTGAGAGAGAGCTATGGTCTCCCCGTCCCACACCCAGGTCTCAGTCACGCAAGCCAGGTCCGCCTTTTGTTCTAAAAGGTAGTCCCAAAGGACTGTGGTCTTATTATTGATGGACTTGGCATTGCACAACCCCAGTGTCAGAGGAGGGTTACCAATCCTGGCCCCACTGTCCAGTACCTTTGGGATGAGTCACAGGCTGGAAGGGCGCTGAGCCGCACTATTTCTCAGCGTCCTTTCCTTAGCATTCCGCCTGGACCCACCGCTATACTTCCCCCTCCTCAGGAGCACCAGAATCTGTTGGCCAGGAATTGCAACACCAACCGGTTGGCCAGGCATTGCAGCACCAACCGGTCTTCGCAGCAGCCTCAGACCAATCAGCGGGCTAGCCAGTGAGCTGTTCCACTGGTATGGATGCAAACACAGCAAACACTCCTGGTGCTGTTTAAACCTATTACATTAACTACCAACCCTGTTATAAAATAAAAATCTACCGATTGCACTAAACTCACAATCTCACAACAATAAATTCTAATCATTTATCAACCGAGCAATCACTAACATCAAGTAAACAATTAATTTAACAACCATTAGTAGGTCGGTATCCTAGCCACTAAAACCAACGAAACAGCCCCCTTAAAATCTTCCGTTAACCGGCTAAGCTACATTCGGCCCTCTCCCTTCGTTCAGCTGATCCTGGAGTTGCTGGTGGCCCATTAGCATCTGCTGCTGGATCCTCTGCTGCGGGGAGGGGGAGGAAAAACCCCAACGTCCTTCTCTGATAGTTGTTATCTGGGAGCCAACCAGTGTTCCCTCTAAGCTGAGTTACTGTGAGCCAGCTCACAGTTTTTTAGCCTCCAGCTCACACATTTCTGTCTCAGCACAGGGAGGATGGCTCCCGAGCAAACGAATTGATGCAGTCGCTAAATTGCTGGCTCACAGCTTTGATGCCAGTCGCTCACCAAGTAGAATTTTTGCTCACAGGACTCCGCAGCTTAGAGGGAGCCTTGGAGCCAACCACTGGGGGTGCTCCAATCCCCAAGTCCTCACCAGCTGTAAGATCCACTCCTCCCCTAGAGCCCAAAGCCCCCCCCCCATCATCTTGTTCAAATAGTGCGGGGGGGGGGGGGCTGCATCCCAGTCGCGATACATAAATAAATCTAGTCCACCCCCCCTGCTCAATGCAGGTTCAGCCTAAAGCATCCGTAACAAGTGTTTGTCCAGCTTCTACTTGAAGAC